ATGATCTTCACAGATGGAATAGTCGAGTAAGTGAATCTAGTTTAGGTCAGTTGCTTGAAAATTGAACTCTAAAGATGAAATTTTCGACTTTCAACAAATACCTAGGCTATAACAGGTTCTTCTTAACAATCTTAAGAAATTAAATCCGTAAAAACTGAGCTATTCCGCTAAGGCAATTGGTTATAGAGGAAACTTGAAAGCCCTGGCCTTATGAGTAGATTACGTTCAAACCATGACATTGCTCGAAAACTTGGCAATTCGGTGTTTGCTCCATTGCTTTTGTCAGGTCGAAGACTTTGTGATGAAACGAACCCTTCAGTTAAACCTGATAAAAGTAATTATAATACTAAGCTGTCCCTCTAAAGCAATTGGTTGAACGCCCCGGCTTTATGGATTGTGCTAGCCAGACAATGGCAAAGTAAATGAAATTTATCTAAGAAATTTTCGGTAAAATGGACTAAGGGAGTTAAGGAACACCTGTATAGTCAACTACACACGAGCACTCAAGAATCTCATTTTTAGACCGTATTTTTTGCACTGCCTTTGTTGGAAGAACCTACAAAGCTTGAACAAATGAAAGATTCCAGAGGACTGAGATAAAAGGTCTAGTAATTGATCATGCTAGTTGCGTCATTTGTCCGCACCCAATTAAGTACCAAAGCATGTTGTGATATTTAAAAAATGACATTTTTTTACCAAAAACCTTAGAAAGGAGGCCAACCTAAAGCCGACTCGTCCCTTTGAACATTTGTCAAAGATTTGTAACTCTGAAAGCATTAAAAGAGCTCTTGATTCCTTTGATATTTTTTGAACTCCCATTTACAATTTGATTCAATTGCGAACAATACTTTACAACATTTTTATCATTTCTCTCTCCTGAACAAAAAAAGGAGAAAACGTTTTCAAACAGAACAATCTCAGATATGAAATGTCTGTAAAGCCCAAGCTCGAGAAGCAATGGGGCACGATTGATTCCATGGACCAGATTGGCAGACAAAGCACGAGACTCCATCCAAGAAATAAATCATAATTCATTCATGATTGCATGCATCTTAGACATACTTAGGTGCATCACATTCATCATTTTAGCATACATAATTTTGCAGCTTCAGAGTCAAGCTTCGACTTCAGGATGAAGGTTACTCGACTTGCAAGCACCTTTAAAGAACGATGGTGTAACTCAGCAGCAAGAAGTTACACCTCAACCGACTTTACATAACTACAGATCTCAGAACCAATGTCAGATGGGTTCGAGAACCAATTCAGATCGAATCTAGTTCGGTTCAAACTCACCAGGAGCAACATGTTTTCAGTTAACACTTTCAAGCCAGATTTCAATTCCACGACGGAAGATATCCGGCTGTCAGAATTTATCAGTAGGTTTCCCAGACCAGCTTAGGGGAACCACCGGAAGAATCATGACCGTTTTCGACCCGTAAGGGAATTTTTAAACATTTTTAAACAGCTAGCTCAAGGCCAGAAGGGCTACCTGCCACTAAGACCTTCGAGTTCGACTACGCTCAGCTCCAAGGCATCATTTGCAGAATAGCTTAAGTCGAGAAGGGCTATCTGCCAAAGACCCTTAGTTCGATTACACTCAGCTTCAAGGGCATAACATTTACAACATAACTCAAGGCTAGAAGGGTTATCTGTCGCCAAAGACCTTTGGGTTCGACTACGTCAGCTCCTAGGCATCATTTGCAGAATAGCTTAAGTCGAGAAGGGCTATCTGCCAAAGACCCTTAAGTTCGATTACACTCAGCTTCAAGGGCATAACATTTACAGCATAACTCAAGGCTAGAAGGGTTATCTGTCACCAAAGATCTTCGAGTTCGACTACGCTCAGCTCCAAGGCACATCATTTGCAGTATAGCTTAAGTCGAGAAGGGCTATCTGCCAAGACCCCAAGTTCGATTACACTCAGCTTCGGGGCACATCATTTGCATAACTTAAGTCGAGAAGGGTTATCTGCCAACAAAAGACCTTCGAGTTCGACTACGCTCAGCTCCAAGGCATATCATTTGCAATACAACTTAAGTCTAGAAGGGTTGTCTGCCAACAAAAGACCTTTGAGTTCGACTACGCTCAGCTCAACGGCACATCATTTACAGCATAACTCAAGGCTAGAAGGGTTATATGTGACCAAAAGACCTTCGAGTTCGACTCCGCTCAGCTCCAAGGCACATCATTTGCAGCATAGCTTAAGTTGAGAAGGGCTATCTGCTAAAGACCTTCGAGTTCGATTATATTCAACTTACAGAATAGCTCAATGCAAGAAGGGCTATCTGTCAATAAAACTGTCGAGTTCGATTCTAATCAGCTCGATAACACCTCAATCACACTACTGTCCGGCTGTAATCGAGATTTTCAAGTCCAGAAGAAGACCTGGGTTAACTGTGCCTCAGTGATAAAAAATCGTTTTCCAGCAACATAGCTTAAGTCGAGAAAAGCCATTTGTCAACAAAGACTTTTCGAGTTCGATTTTATTCAGCTCGAGGGCTTGTCAAACCAGATGGTGAAGTCAAAGAAATATTTTCCAGCCGAATTTTTAACCAAGGTCCTTAAACTGAGGAAAAGACCGAGGTTGACTACAATTGGGCAACAAGAAGTCGCATTCCGATTCAATTCCATATCATTTCAAGATTGACTTGACTTCACGACGGAGGGATCATCCGCAGCTCAATCCGACAGGGGGTTTTTCTTCAACCCCACTGAACGAAAATTTGTGTCTTTTTATCTTTGTCCTATTTTTCGTTCCACGAAAAAGGACAAAGAGGGGCAGCTGTAGACACTAATTTCCGTCCACATTTTTTATTTTATACATATATACACATATATATTATATAGTTTGCAAATTGTTTTTGAAAATACATATATAATATATAGTTTAAATTTTTTTTTGAAAATATGTATATTATATAGTTTTTAAAATATTTTTGAAAATTATATAATATATAGTTTTTGAAAACGTTTTTAAAATATATATAATATATACTTTTGAAAACGTTATGAAAACATTTATATAATATATAATTTTTAAAAACCATTTTGAAAATATATTTTTTGAAAATTATATAATATATAGTTTTTGAAAACGTTTTAAAATATATATAATATATACTTTTGAAAACGTTATGAAAACATTTATATAATATATAATTTTTAAAAACCATTTTGAAAATATATATAATATATAGTTTTTTTTAAAAACATTTTAAAAATTTATATATTATATGTTTTTGAAAACGTTTATATATATATTATTATTATTTATTTTTACTTTTAATTTATTTATTTCTCATTTATTTTTGTGCAGGGTCTAGGTTCAAGAATCCAGTCCAAGTTTGGGCCTGAACTAGCCCAGCAAGAGATTAGGGTTCCCAGTTTTCAGTCACCAAGCAGTCAAGGAGCCAAACGGTCAATAGTGCCAACGGCCGGTCGAGATCCCCGGGACTGACCCATCCCGGGATGACCGGCCACAACAACCACGATCCCGAGATTGTCGGGACTCACAACGGCCAGTGGGGGTTATAAAAACCCACGGGCGACGGGGAACAGGGGAGGGCAGAAACACAGTTCACCGAACCTCAACAAGATCGGAGTAAACCAAGACCCACGAAAATCATCAGTCACAAAAAAACCCAAGAGCCGATCACCACAAGACCAACAGTACCAACACACACCATCATCGAGAAACCATCATAAGCCGAAACGTCAGATACAAAAACCCATCAAACCCAGTCGAAACCAAAAGAAAAACAACCGCTCACAGTAAACCAAGCACACAGAAAAAACAAACAGAGGGCCATCACAAACAAATCGGACGAGAATCCACGAGAAAAGTAAAGGAGAACACAAGAACAAGGCAAAAACAGAAGCACCAACCGTGAAACCAAACCACAATAGCCAACACCAAAACGCCAAAAATACAACAAATAAAAGGAAAACAAGCAAGGACATCCAGAACCAGAGGAGCGCATCAGAAAGGTGAGGAAGCCGATTGGTTTCGGCTTAGATCTACGCCGTTTAAGGGTGTTTTTGCATGACTTGTGCTCGGGGTTAGGACGAGGGGCTTTAGAGAAGCATTTGGTAAGGTTTTGGCATTTTTTTCGGCCGCCACGGGCGGCGGTCGAAGACGGCGATGATCAGTGGTCGAGGTTCGGTCGGGAGGGCCGGTTGAGAGCATATCTCTCATGAGATGATTTTCTGATAAATGTTGAGAATGAAACGAAAATAGGCTGGTTTAGATATATATATATACCAGGGACTACCGTGTAATTACAGGATAGTTAAATCCTTTCCGCGATCCCTGTAAGTTTGAGTCGCAATCCATTTCAGTCACCATATGCAATTCGGCCACAGGATTTTCAATTGTTTCAATTCGGTCCCCGTTTAAATTTTACATTTTTGCAATCTGACCCCCTAAATTCTGACCTTTTTTATTATCATGCTTGTTAATTATTATTCTTTTTATTTTCTTTCTTACTTCATATTGTTTCCATTTTATTACTTTTAAAATAATATTTTTCTTATTTAATATTTATTTATTATTTATTTAATTTTAATTTAATTTCTTTGATTTATTGTTTTTTTATATTATTTACTTTTTATTATTATTATTATTATTATTATTATTTTGATTTATTTAATATCTTTTTTATCATCTAACATTTTCTTTAACATTTTCAGTGGTCCTTTAAATCGGTCAAAGGTAAACAATTCGAATCGAGTATTTAAATTCTAATTTAAATTTTTTATTTTCGCCATTAAAGACAATCGGTGAATTAATTGGTACCGAAAGGGCGGTTCAAGGGTGCTAATCATTCCTTGACCGTAACCGACTCCCGAGCCCAACATATTTCGGGTACAACGCAGATCAGGTAAGATGGTATCCGACCTACCTAAATTCGTTTTAAAATGGTCGGTGGCGACTCCAATTCGTTTAATCCAAGTCGAAGCCCAATTCCGGGTCCAACCGAAAGACGGTTACGACACATTGCTTGGGTTGGAAACATCTATCAGAAGTTCGAAGCTGTGTGCATGGAGGTTGATGACATTGTGTGCCCGGTATTGGTTTCATTCATCTTCCCCCCCCCCCTCAAAAATAGTCGAAATTATAGCAGTTTTGTTCTGAAACATCGAAATTTGATGGTGTTCTTGGTCAGGAAACATTGAGATATGTAGAAAACCAGTTGCAGACAGTTGGTTCGAACGTTAGACAGTTCTGTGCTGAACTCTGCGAAGAGTTGCTCCCTTCGTCTCCTACTGATCCGGTAGAAGACCTTAACTCGAACCGGGAGCAAAATGCCAGTGTTGCTAGCTACGAGGACTCGAACATAAGCGTTGATGAAGATCGACCTCATACAGAACTGATCGGTTCCTCGTTATCTAATGATGAGCTTCAGGACCATGATTCTACTGCAAATGACACGTCATTAGAGTCTATTGGTAAGTATTCCATCAAGTTTTAGTTTTAAGTACTTCGTGTTGTTATACTGAAATTATATGTTTCTTGTCACATAAGAAACTAGCCATGAACCCAAAGTTCCATCAATTGATAAGATAAAGTTCGAAGAAAGCTGCATTATAGTAGAAAGTAGAGAGCTTCATTCCCTCAATAATGAATTCAGAAAACGCCAGCCATCCAAGGTATGAATCCGATACTCCCTCCCTCGATCCGATACGGAAACCAACTTTTCAGACTTGTGTTACTTGAACCTGACATTATATGTTCTTCCATTGAACAGAGAAAGCTCCGGCAGGCCTTTTCTTCTAAGCTAAGGTTGGCAAAGCTGGATGACAAAGTGAGTCCGCTATCCGGACGTGCCGACCAAAGAGAATCACTAGACGGAGGGTTTTGCGAATCTGATTGGGAGATTGTTTAGACAAGTTGGTTCTTTTTTCTTTACTCGTGCAATTTAGGTTATAAGAATACCTATAATCAAGCATATTACAAATCAGAATTAACAAATCTAAATGATGCTAAAGCACACCGGTTGGTCCATAAAATTAATGCTAAAGCACACCGGTTGGACCATGAAACCGGTGCATTAATTTCACAAGATTAACAAAGAGAAAAAGGGCTCATGGATAATCATTGATAACTTTCCATTTCGACCTTACAAGTCACGACACTGCATCCCATTGGCTGCAAGTATACAAATTCGTTAGATTAAGAACTTTACTTAATTCGCATTGAAAACCAATCATGATCTTTAATCTATGTGGCGGACACTAAGAGAATCTTTAAAAAAAAAAAGATTGGTAGTTTATTTATTAATGTTGCTTGATGAGGACATAACGCGTGGTTGGTCCAAATTTGAGACCTCTTGTTTATTCACGACTCCAGTTTATCCAGACATTATGGTGGTGGTGTAGGTTAACAATTGCTTTTGCTTGTTGAGACCGCTACCTAAACAGGACATGGGGTTTGGTTTGGTTGGTTCAACTTTAACGCGATGGTTCGGGTCTCATGTCCATCCCTATTTTAAACTAATTAGATTTTTTATCATTTAATTATTAAATTTTTATATTTAAAAATTGAATAAATGGATTAGATCATTCACTCAAGTTTTCACTATTGATATTGAGTTTTATTATTAATAGATTTAAATAGTGTTTGTGGTTGTGGTTTCGGTCGCATCGTATTTATCTCATTTGTGGACATAACGGGTGTGATGTATTTGATGGAGGCAGAAGGGATTTGATTTCTTCCTTAAACAGTTCCTTGGGCAATTAGCAATTTGTCGTAAATGGTCCTCCACCTTACGGATACAGCTCCATTTCCTCACTTTTAGCCTACCTCAGTCAATCTTCATCGCAAAATACGATTTCAGTCGAATTATGAATATGTTAAAATTTATATAAATAATTGATACCGCCAAAAATTAATATGAAAATGATACAAATTCGTGGATTATGTTATTTAATTTCCAAATTAGTGCCAACTTTGGTCCACTCAACAAATTGAGTTCAAAAAGTGGTGGCAAATATAGTGTGGATAATGTAGTAGCTAAGCCATCCTGGTCAGGAAATTCTCATCAATCAACGTCTACACACTGCATGCCATTGCCTGATGCTTCTTTTGGGAATTTAAGCAATTATTATTCTTTCGAAACAAACAACTGCCGACTTTCTTCCCATCCATTCTCAAATAAAAAGTTTTTAAGGATCAAAGTTAAATTATAAATTTTATGAGAGTTAAAAATGTAATTTTATATTTTTACCCTTATCGTTATATGCTAATAAGTTTGGTTCGCCGGTCGTGAGTGATTCATCCTTTTTGGTCTGGGCGAAGACTTCCTATCGATGAGAGAATAGTCTTTGGCCGGTGTTTGAAGGAAGGAGATAGTGGATTATCATAAGGAAAAAAATGAATGTAGGAGGGTCATCCTCTTTTTCGGTCTCGATTAAGCAGGTTAGGATTTTATAATGACTTTTAGGGTGTGTTTAGTTGGGGGAATGTGAGATTCCCATGGAAATAGAATCCACATTCTCCCGTTTGGTTGGTCGGGAATGTCATTCCCAGTAATCTTACATTACCAATAGTGGATTTTTTGGGATATATTACCGAGAATGTCATTATCTCCCTTAGGTGTTGTTGGATTACCTGCGTTTTGGACCAAATTGCCCTTAATTTTTTTTTTCAAAAAAAAAAATCTTTATTCTGTCATTAAATAATACAAATTTATCCTTAAACTATTTTAGATTTACAAAAAAAAAGTATATAATTAAAATTTTATATGAAGTTAGGGGTTAAAATAAAATTTTACTCTTTTATTAAACATTTTTATATTTTCAATTTTGTAAAAAATAATTATATAAATTTTATGAATTTAAAATTTTTAAAAAATATATATAAATATTTTCCAACTTGTTAAAAAAAATATATATAATAAGAACAATTTGGTCAAATATACATTTCAATAATCTTTTAGTCCTTTAACCAAACACGGTAATCTAACATTCCTGCTAAACCAATCAAACACAAAATACAATATTCACAGTAATCCTATTTTCTGATAATCTTTTATTCCCACTGATAATCTTACATTCCGTGAACCAAACGCACCCTTAATGCATGTGTTAGCCGTAAGATAATCATTGATATATGTAGGTCGGTAGGCAAAGTAAATTTGTTAATTAAGCTTTAAGTTTTATTCTAGTGTACAACGTGGACACGTCAAAGTATTTATCTGTCAGAAATATTATATATATATATATATATTGTAATTAACCAAAAAAATATGTGTTTTAGGAGATATGAGTTAGTTGGTGGATGAAAAGATTTCTGAAAACCATATTTGAAGGTATAACATAAATAATTTTTTTAAGCTTGAATTAGCTCTGGGCCACATTGTCACGGATTTTTGTCCCATTGCCGACAAGTATCACGAGGGAGACTTGTGTGCTATGAGTGATGATGCACCTTCTGAGATTCTTGTCAAGAGAGACGTACTGACCATTCTAAACTGAAAAATGGTGTCTCTGGCGTTGTAATCTGCACATTGGTCAATGTATCTGTAAAAGGACCCCTCCCCCCCCCCCCAATATACAGCCAATTTCCCATCACTCACCTATTATAATGTAGAGAAAAAAAGGAGGGCAATTGCATGAATCATAATCTCTTTTATTAGTTATGGAACATCCAGGCTTGGAGAATCTCAACAGGTTAATTATTGTTTTAAGCATATGGATTCTGACCATCAAGGCATTTGTTTTATTAATTAGCTAGAAAAACCAGTGAGTGGAAAGCTGAATCGAGTTCATGCATTTGAAATCCCTAGTGGTGAGCTGTTTACTTGTGGTTTAGGATCAAAGTATATAGAAGAAAATGAAAGATCCATGAATTTTCAATCATTTTGTTTCCGTTCTCCTTTTGACTTTTTTAGAGGTGGAACCTCAAAATTATTGTTGACTACTTTGTTAAAATTTTCCATGAACCTTAGGGGGCGTTTGGATCAGGTTACGTGAGATTACCGGGGGAATGGAATGAGATTCCCCCGTTTGGATTGTAAAGATTCTCAACCTCGGGCAATAAGTTATTCTCAACAGTGATATTTTGGGGGCTTATTACCTGGAATGTGATTTCCCCCTTCCCTTAGGTATTGTTACATTTCCGGCGTTTTGGACTAAAATACCCTTAAATTTTTTTCTCAAAAATATCCTTCTTCTGTCATTGAATAAATTTTTTTACGAAGGTTAAATTGTAAATTTATCCTTAAACTATTTTAGATTTACAAAAAAAGTCCATAATTAGAATTTTATATGAATTTCAGGGGTTAAAATAAAATTTTACCCTTTCATTAAACATATTTATCTTTTCAATTTTGTAAAAAAAATTATATAATTTTTATGAATTTAAATTTTTTAAAGAAAATATATAAATTATTTATAGTAGAATTTAACTTGTTAAAAAATCAAATATATAATAAGGATAATTTAGTAAAATATACATTTCAATAATCTTTTATTCCTTTAACCTTAACCAAAAGCTGTAATATTATATTTCTGCTAAACAAACCAAACACAACAATGCAACATTCCCAGTAATGTGTTAGGTAATGTTACATTCTGGTAATTCTATTCCCGCCGATAATCTTACATTCCGTAAATTAAACACACCCTTAATATTTAGGAATCATTCATTAATTGAAATTGTTAAAAAAAAAAGTGTCTCTATTCTTCCAACCCCACTACTGGCTATTGAGAGAGTTTTTTTTTTCCTTTCCATTTTCCCATTTTAGAATGCCCAAAGTGGTGAGAATGGCGAAATGCCTAATGGCGAGCGTAGGCACTAGGCATGCATCAACGTACTTATCTTTGCTTATACAAATACCAATTTCACCATTTTTGTAAAAAGAAATTGAGTTCAAGTCATGTTAAATGTTAGGGTTTGCCATCTAAATTTTATTTTAATTTGATATAAAAAGATTATAATGTGACATGTTTGGTGCAAAGAATCTCTTATCGTAGTATACCACTAATCTCGATTAGAGGTGTGGGATGAAATTTCAATCGATATAAGACTATACTTTTTATGTTAATTTTTCACCTAAAATTTGATTTTATTTATTTTACTCGTTTTTACCTTCTTGTAGAGTATAGCAGTAAAGTTTTTTTTATATACCTATAGAGTTTCAATTGACAGGTATTCCATTTCGGATTCATATAAGACAGGTTTACCTATCGAATAATGACATCCTACTAATGGAGCATTAACTAACCTGATTGTAGTACTGGTACAAATAATGCTAAGAATGCATAAAATGACATTTTGGAAGTAACTATCTCTTAGTTCCAAGGTCCTATGAATGTTCCAATCGAGAACATATGCACATTTAACGTGGCAAATCCTGAAGTATGAAGCCATGAGTGAAAGCACCAAATTCAGAAAAATGATGATTCGCTTATAAAAGTTGCATCCAAATGCCCTCAAATTGATTGATGACCAAACCTTTGATATGACAGTGATTCACTTTAAATGTAGGACCTCCATTTGGAAATGGGTGTCCCACTGAGCCCTGGTGAATGGAATATCGTGAAGCTTAGCTAGCTCGGTGCCGAATGCTTAACCGCCAAAGTGGTGGGCCTGTTGCCGTGATGGCTGGGAAAGAGTGACCTGAGAAGGGAAGAGGATGTCGTAGATAAACAACCAACTCCCCACAATCTGACCTTGGCGTTTTGAAAAAGGCTTTATAAGTCTTGTATCTGAAGAAACTCTTCTAGGTCTTTCAACAGTGCGAAACAAAAATCAATCTTTCGAAGGAGATTTGGAAAGGGTATAACAAAGTTCATTTGATGTCGTACAAGGATCTGTTCGGGACTTTTACCTTCAATCCCTGATAATTTCAAATTCTCATATAGTTTAAGTAATTTTATTTTCGCACAACAAATATTTTATTTATTATAAAATCCATACACATTGAATTTAAAATGGTCCCCTACGGAATCAATACAAAGCCTTTGCCTAAAACAAAAGACAATCCGGTAAAAAAAGGCTCGATAAAAAACTCCTTACAAGAGTAACTATTATCCTCTAATTTCTCCACAGATTATCTCCTAATTGAGACTGATTTTTTTTTTTACAGTTAAATATTTTTTATTGATAATTTATTTTCGTCTATAAAAATTTTATAAATTTGTCTTAGGTTCGCCTCTGCCCTAAGTTGCTTGTTGGTGTTAAGCACCCCACTCCTTTTAATTTGGCCGAGGAATCAGCCGTGAATCTGGGTTTATTCGGAAGGAAGTCTTCCGTCAGGATTCAGGCCCCCATGTTCCTGTCTTCTCATGTCTATATATTTGTTTCCTTGCATGAGTTGGTCATCACATTGGCCATCTGGTCCCCTACTATATATATATATGCTTGTTTACCTGACACCTAAGAATTAGCCATTCCAGAATCAGGCCAAATCATCAAACGCCAGTCTCTTCCACAAATGAGTTATCGTCTGGTTCTCAGTCGGTCAATGATAGAGATGATGCATGTTCCACTATCTTCAAGTTGTTAAAACTTATCTTTCAAGCCCAAACCCACCTTTCTCTTAACTAAAATGGAATAGTCATCTGCATTTATAAATATCAAGGTGATTTTAATCATCCAGTTGTTAAATGAATACGACACGTGAGATTGAGTGATGAAGAGTTTATTATGTGAAATTCAGCTCGATTCCCATGCTATAGAGAAAGGAGTGAAAGTCAAGCTAATGTTCCTTTTCCTTTGTTTTCGACTCTTCTTCCCGTGAAAGCAAAATACATCAGAAAATTTTAGACTGCTTTCTTTTGCTTGTAAGCGATCGATGCAGAATATAGAATCATTGATATCATCACGGGTTTCATAAATTAGTATATTTTACTCCCTTGTTAAACTATACTATCAATTTCTATACACATAAAAGTCAAGACAAGGGCCAAACCATGTGCAATTTTTATTATTAGCATATGTCCCATGACATGCACGACAATATAATGCTGTACAACTCTTAAGAGAAAATTGTGCTATACAAAATATTTTTTTTATCGTTCTTTCGTTAAAATCCTCCGTATATTTTATTTTTGCACCTCATAATAATTAGAAGATCAATAACACTTATGAACCCCCGTCACCTCGGAATTTCGGAGTCTATGGCAGTTATTATAATCTTACTACTGACACGTTTACTAAAGACCTCTATAAAATCTCTCGAGCATGATCAATATATGGGATAAGACCTCTATGAAATCACCTCACTTGTATTCTTCTCTGCTCTACCTCTTTACGAAAACAAAACACTTCGAACTAATTACCGATTGATTTTCAACTAACTATAAATATCACTCAAATTAAAAGAGATAAACCAGTAATAATTGTCCCAATCTATTTTGTCCATCAACAATTTTACATTTTGATTTTACTCAATCAGATAAATTTACAGCAGCTAATCCTTCCAAGATTTGTCAAATTTGAAAATCAGATGGTGTCTAGCTTATTCCATGTGAACCCACCAAGCAGCCTTTTGCCCTTGGATTAATTGCCTACCTCTCTCTCTCTCTCTCTCTGTTTCTCACGTTCACTCTCTCATCCACTTGTATATAAGCTCTGGGTCTACAGACAACTTTGTTCTCAAAACAGAGCTTGTTTTATCTTTAAAGCAACTCATCAAAGAACACAAATTCCCTGATGGGTTTCAGTTGCAAAACCCTGTTGTGTTTGGTTCCCATACTTGTGCTTGTGTTGTTGCAAGGGGCAAGTGCCGGGCAATATTACCACAATGCGACCGGGTTAGCAAGTCGAAAACAAATGGGTGGCTGCAATTTATTTCAAGGCCAATGGGTGTTTGATCCTTCGTATCCTTTCTACGACTCCTCAGGGTGTCCCTTCATAGATGCTGAATTCGATTGCCTTAAATATGGCCGACCAGACAAGCAGTACCTTAAGTACGCCTGGAAACCTGATGGCTGCAGCTTGCCAAGGTACCCCTTTTCCCCCTCTTTGTTTTCTTTTTTAAATTTAGATTCTTTCAGCGAGAAAGATTGCTTTTTGTTGTTGTTAGATTTGATGGGGCGAGTTTTCTGGCAAAATGGAGGGGGAAGAAGATAATGTTTGTGGGCGACTCACTGAGTTTGAACATGTGGGAATCTATGGCCTGTATGCTTCATGCCTCTGTGCCTAACTCCAAGACCACATTTGTCAGGAAAACCCCTTTGTCTTTTGTCATCTTTGAGGTGAGTTCTTGTGCTTCTTTATTTTTCCTGTTTTTTTATGCTAAAAGTAGTAGTAATAATTATTTCCTTTGGAGTAATTTGTGAGATTAACAAACGCAATTCTGAGAAAATTACATGCTAAAAAAAACAGAAAAAAATTCAAGACATGCCTTTATTCTATTTACTTTAACTTGTTAAGAACAAAACATCCAGCACAGCACAACAGCTGTTCAAGCTGACCGCCAGCCAATCTGCTTTTATTATATAATATCTAATCTAACCTAACCTAATCTTAATTATTTAATCTCATTAGTTGAACATTGCTTACTGGCACCGCTGATCTTAATTTATGAGGTTAATTCATTTACTTACCATGCAGGACTATGGGGTGACTGTGTATTTGTATCGATCACCGTACTTGGTGGATATAGTTAAAGAGAATGTTGGTGATGTGCTTAATCTAGGCTCCATCAATGGCGGCAATGCATGGAAAGGGATGGACGTGTTGATTTTCAACAGCTGGCATTGGTGGACCCACAAGGGGAAATCTCAAGGGTAGGGTTTTCATCTTCATCGTTTTGTTTTATACACCGTGTTGCATCAGATACGAATATATTTAGAAATATCATGTTTGCTTAATGTAGATGGGATTACATTAGAGATGGGTCTACACTATACAAAGATATGGACCGTTTACAGGCATTCAACAAAGGGCTTACAACTTGGGCTAATTGGGTTGATAGCAATGTTGATCCTACCAAGACAAAGGTCTTCTTCCAGGGCATTTCACCCACCCACTACGAGTAAGTCCGGAAATAATCTAAATCTGATATGATCCTATCTAATTTGTACTGACTGTGTTGGATGAAACCAGAGGTAGGGAGTGGAACCAACCGAAAAAGAACTGTAACGGTGAGCTAGAGCCGCTGTCCGGTCCGACGTACCCGGCAGGGGCTCCTCCAGCCGCTGCCATCGTGAACAAAGTTTTAGGGTTGATGAAGAAACCGGTTTTCTTGCTTGATATCACGACGCTGTCGCAGTTGAGAAAAGACGCTCATCCCTCGACCTATAACAGTGATCATTCGGGCAACGACTGCAGCCATTGGTGTCTTCCGGGCTTGCCTGATACATGGAACCAGCTTCTATATGCAGCTCTGGTTATGTGAAGGTGACACATTGGGAAAACAAAGAATTTACATCTCTTTTTCTTCTTCATACAAAATTAAGTTGTACAATATTCAGGAAGATGATGAAAGTTATATCATTATATGGGTGGGGGTGATTAATTATTAGGTGAGCAAAGCTCAATTGTGAAGTGATTGATTTTTTTAAACTAAAATTAATCATATATGAACACAAACACCTTAAAAAATAAATAAACAAACACGAACCAAATATGAACACCTTAAAAAATAAACAAACGAACATAAACACAAGTTTGTTCCTCAAAACTCAATTCATTTACTCATCTACAAACACCAGCTGACATACAAACAGCTGGGTTTAGGTGAAGCGGTGATTTCCAGCTTCAATCGGACAGCATTGCAGTTATGCCCTGGAGTTAATGAATTGAATGTGGGTGATGAGAATAACAGCAGCTGGCGTTGTATTCACAAACATTTCATGTTTCCATCTTTACAACTGAAACTGGTACATTCATACTTTCTGAGCTGTGAAGCAGAGTTTGTTTACAGAGATTTTTGTTGGTTTTGGAATTGAACGTTGCATGATCTGTCTTTGTCTCTCAGTTCCTGGAACGCCCTCATCGTTTCCACGCCAAATCCGCCGGCAAACTGTTAAAAAATGGGTTACCTTTTGAGCCATCTTTCTCCAAGTTGAGTAAATTAAATGAGAATGTTACCTGATGCACACGTAATGCAAATCTGACGCCTTGAACAATCAGCTCCTCTTCTTCAGGCTCACTTCCAACTGCTTCAAGCTCAGATGATACCCGTCTCATGTACTTCATCGCTAATTTTACCGACGTCAGCTTAATCTGCCGCAATTTGTATGCATATTAATGAGTTAATAGACAACTAACATCTCATTCTCACTGATTGATATAACGATTAACCCAATAATTTTACCCGGCTTACGATTCCGGTTTCAAGCATCCAGTCCATAGGAATGTGAAATCCTTTGTATCTATTTGCATCCTCACAAAGAAAGTTCAGAATTTAGAAAGGATAAGAGATTAAGTAATCATGGCTACTTCTTCCATAACATCTCGTTGGAGAGAACTTAGTGGTGAGAATAACTGGGAGGGTTATTGTATCCTCTTGATCTCGATCTCCGCCGCAATCTTATTCACTATCTTCAAAGGGCCAGCGTTGTCCCCGATTCTTTCAACGGAACCAAGGCGTCAAAGGGTTATTCCTTTAGCCTATCCCACTGGAGAAGTTCTTCTCCGGGGCTGGTCTTGAAAATGGTAACCCATACCATTATAGAGTGACCAACTTTATATATGCTACCACAGCCGCCGACGAAATGGCATATTTCGGGTACGTTGCGGTGGCCACCGGTGAAGGAAAAGCTGCTCTGGGAAGGAGGGATGTTCTCGTTTCATGGAGAGGAACCATAACAGAAACAGAGTAGCATGACGATGCAAATCTTTTACAAATATCGGATAAAGAATTGTTCGGAACTGACCTAGCTCAGGTGCACGCTGGTTTTTACAACATCTATACAATGACCATAGCAGATTCCCATTATGTTAAGACCAGTGCCAGGGAACAAGTATTGATCTATACATATATGGCAGGGATATATCAATCAAGTCATCCAGAAAAGATTTTAAATTATCGTATATTTTATATTTTTTCTTTATATTTTTTCTTGATATTCTCTTTCCTCACCCCCTCTATCGTCGTCAACGTCCGTCAGGTTCGGAGAGCGGTGCAGGAGCTGGTTGACGAGTATCAAAATGAGGAAGTTAGCATAACTGTAATAGGACATAGCCTGGGGTCTGCACTGGCAACCCTAAATGCCATGGACATATATAGCTCACAATGGTTTCATCAAGCCGACGGGCAACCCTAATAAGACCTTCATGGTGACTACTTTTCCCATTCCATTCGCAAGCCCTCGCATGGGGAATCTGTTCTTCAAAGGAATTTGTGACTGGCTTAAGGATTTTCATCTCCTTCGTATCGTGAACTCCACGGACCTCGTTCCTAAGGCCCCATTTACACCAGGAATGCATCTACTTCCATGTCGGACAAGAGTTAGGGATCGACACGACCGAGTCACCCTACTTGAAACCTGACGTTAATCTTCACAATCTGGAGGTTTACCAGCATGGAGTTGCAGGTGTTCAAGAAAATGGAGAATTCAATCTGGAAGAAGAACTTGGTTTTGACAATGCAGTGGTGAACAAATATATATAGTGATGGTTTACTGGACGAATACGAAATACCAGATAACTGGTGGACGAAGGAGTTGTTCAAGAACATGGTTCAGATGGACGATGGGCACTGGAAGTTCATTGACTCTGCCTATGTGCCGGATCCTTCGATCGCTTAATGGATCATGTCAAATAATTCCCATTCTCCCTTTCTGAATTCCAATCACGTCTCTATCCTGCACAAGTAGTGGGTGTTTCTTAAATAAAACTAAGGGTAAACAGAACCTTTAATATCTCAATTATCACTTTTCTTTTATTTTGGTCACTCCAATTATTTTTTGTTTTAAAATCATATCTAACAGTTAGATTTTGGTTTCATTTTAGTAACTCACCGTTAAAAAATTAACGTGATAATAATGTGTCACTATAAGTAATCTGACGTCTCCACTGTTTGTCTGTATGTTTTAATGAATAACATTAATTTTATCCTTTACACCTATTGGATCATTAGGTTATTTCTGTGGGATCTTTCTGTGATCTGATTCGTTGGCCAAAACTAGAGCTCAGAGATAAAGAATAGTCTGTTCTTTAAATGCAGAGTTGGTGGAAAGAACACAAGGAGTTTTGTTTAATTACATTACATGTCCTTGAATTATGACCTTTATTCTAAATTTATCTTTAAACTTTTGAATATTACAATTTTATTCCTATATTATGACTCATTCAATGTTAGTTCGTAAACTTTTGAACATTTCAGTTTCACCCCAAATACTAACATTCATTCAGAATTGGTCTCAAAACTTTTAAATATTTCAACTTCATCCCAAACTATAGGTATATGTTAATCACATCTGTTATTCATAAAATCGTTATGTCGAGCTATATTTTTTGTATATTTGGAAAAAAATTAAAATTTAATTTAAATTATGGTTGAAAGTAATCACATATTTAGATGAATTTAAGGATAAAATTGAAAGATTCATTAAGTTCATTGTCGAATCTTTATAAGAACTAATGCGTTGGTCAAAATCATAGTTCTAAGATAAATAATACTGTATTTTTTAATGGGGAGTTGGTGGAAGAACAAAAGCATTGATCCTTTCAAGTTCCATTATTTTTGTTTGAGTTAATTGATCACAATTCACACATGCCTAAACTGTGACTTTCATTGATAAAGTTTTGGATGTTCTAATTTTATCCTCAAATTATTATTCTCATTTTACAATAGTTTTCAAACTTTTAAATATTTTAATTTCATCCTCAAATTATGACCTTCATTTTAAGTTGGTCCCTAAACTTTTAAATATTTCAATTTCATCCTAAACTATTAGTCCCCAAACTTTTAAATTGATCACATCCCTTATTAATAAAACCGTTGGTTAAAGCTATATTATTATATGTTTGAAAAAATAAATAAAACTAAGGTTAAACTACGGTTAAAACTAATTACATATTTGGATGAATTTAGGGATGCAATTATAAGATTCAAAAGTTTGGGGATGAATTTAGAATGAGGGTCATAATTTGGGGGTGAATTTGGAACACTCAAAAGTTTGAGGACTAGTTTAAAATGAGAGTAATATTTTAAGATACAATTAGAATATTTAAAAGTTTAAAGATCAATTTAAAATAAAAATTATAGTTTGAAGATATATAATACAATTAACTCTTTTGTTTTGCTTTTTTACCGTTTTAACTCTTTTGTTGCACATCATATGTGCGATGGAATTTAACCATTAAGTTTACAGTGTTAGTGAAAAAAAAATGTTTCAGATGACATCGATAGTTTAAAGATAAAAGAATATTTAAAAATTTAAAAATAATTTAAATTCAAAGTTATAATTTAAGAAGGTTTGGCGTAATTTTTTTCTTAACACAATATATTATTCCTTGTTAGAAAATTATAAAAAATGATTAATTTTTTAGATAAATGGTGAATTTTATTATCCTAAGAATTTTATTACTGGATCATATAACAAGGTAAAGAAATAAAATACTGCTAACCCACTTTATACATAAATATCTAAGGGCATTTATAATTCGATTAAAACCAAATTATTCAATCAAACCGAAAAATTTCCGGTAAATCGATCAGTTAATTTTGGGTTCGATCGGTTAACGGTTAATGATATTTTCAAACTTCGATTATTGATTAATTCGATTCGAAATCGGTTAATTAACCAAAATTATTAAATATTTAATATATTATATATATTATTTAGTTTTAGGTGTGTTTAAACTTCAGTTTTAATCGAATTAACTAAAATATTAAATATATAATATTTATATATTAAATATTTAATAATTTCGGTTAATTCGGTTAACCGACGAAAGTAACCGAACTTAGTTTGGTTTGGTTAATAGGTAAAGAAAAAATTCGATTAATTCTGTTAATATTTATTCGGTTCGGTCGGTCACCAAGTTAACAGAATGAAAACACTATAAATATATTATGAATTTATAGAAACCCATTAAAATTATCAGTCATATCAAGGGGATCCAGGGGTTATAGGATGCGATTATATCCTTTAGAATATTTTTAATATCAGTTAATTTAAATATATTTTTACATTTTTTATTAATAATATAATTGAACGATTTCTTAAAAATTATATAATTTTATATTTTTAAATTTTAATATAAATTCCTATATTCTTATCTCTTAAAATAAAAGTATACATCTGTTCTTGGTTGTATCTATAGACATTAAGTTTGATGTAAAAAAAATTATGGAAGCAATTACGTCAACCTTTATTGTCCAGTGAGTTGCCTTTTATTTGTTCTTCCAAATCAAGTAGATGCTTGCACTCAATGCATTTTAAAGAATAAAAATGTTTAATGCTTTTTGGTTACAAAATAGAGAAAGCTATTGGTTTAGCAGTTTCTAGGAGATCTTCTCCGAGCCTGCTTATCAACCTGAAGAAGCATCTGAATTCCAGCAGGTGGGATTTACATTTTAGACAGCCCCACTGGTATCATACGACCATTCCGAGCAAGAGCGTCGGCCACACCGTTGATTTCCCAACAGATAAGGGAAAAAATGGATTTTCCAGCCAGGATGAAGAAGCTCACGTAGAAACTAAATATGGTCCCTGAGATTTTATTTCATCAATCGGTAGAAACTAAGGGGCTGTTTGTTTACTTCAGAATGATTAAGCGCTGAATGATTCAGAGGCTCTGTATGAATTAGCTCTGAATGTGACATGTTGTTTGATAATGGTTCTGAATCATTCAGAATGTACTTCTGTGCTGAATCATTCAACACTGTTTTGTTGAATCAGTCAGCACTGAATCATTCAGAAAGTGCGAAACAAACGCACTGAATGTTGAACGGATCAGCATTCAACGCTGAATGGTTCCATTAAGAGGCAAACAAACAGCCCTAAATTTTATTAAATTCAATTTCAATAGTAAAAGGAAGTGATATTTTCTTTAGAATTTTTGTGTTTGTACAGCTGCGTATATAAGATGTATATTCTTATCAATAACTTAAAAATATTCTAAACATATATTATATTATAATTATTTTATATTATTAAAAAAATCGTCGAAAGATTAAACAAATGCTTTGATCCTATCCGTCGTGTCCTCATCGGATGTCATTAATAAGAGCACCTACTCTTGCTAAAGTTGTTTTCTTTCATTAGTTGTTGTAGACCCAGTTAGTTAATGCATCAAACCTACTTATTTTGAATTTGGGGGTATACGTACCCTGATATTACATGATTTTTTTTTTAAATTATGATTATTAACTTGGGACTTGTCTGCAAAATAAACGTGACATATAACAAAAATCAATAAATCAAGTGGTGGAAACCGGGGTGGTGATGTTCTCAAACTAAATGAATAGCAATGGTATTTGACACTGCAACATACTCATAAAGGCTCATGGGTCCATCGAGCTTGAAATAATTATTCATTTCGCATGCTAAAAACATGACATTACCTATTTTCTTCGTCTTTAGTTATTACATACCATCGATGTCCGGTCTATATAAACCATGCACAACAAAGCTAAGAATGCACCCTCACAAAGAAAGTTCAGAGTTCATAAACTAGAAGAGATAAAACAATCATGTCTAGTTCTGGAATAGCTTCTCGTTGGAGAAAACTTAGCGGCGAGGATAACTGGAAGGATCTGTTGCACCCTCTCGATAACGATCTCCGCCGCTATCTCATCCACTATTGTCAAAGGGCCGGAGCCGCCGGTGATGCTTTCAATGGGACTAGGGCATCGAAGGGTTATGCACATACCCTATATCCTGCTGACGAGTTTTTCGCTAGGGTTGGTCTCGAAAATGGTAACCCTTACAGGTATAGAGTGGTGAGCTTCATATATGCTGCTACCGCTGCGCATGAAATAGCGTATTTCGGATACGTCGCGGTGGCAACGGATGAAGGAAAAGCCGTGCTGGGGAGGAGGGACATTCTCATTTCATGGAGAGGGACCATAACGAACACCGAATGGGGTAACGATGCTAATCTTTTTCAAACATCGGCTAAAGAATTGTTCGGAAATGACTTTATTCAGGTGCATTCTGGTTTTTACAACACCTATACGAAGTCGATTGAAGATTCCCCTTATGTCAAAATCAGCGCCAGGGAACAGGTAAATCTAGACATATATACATGTACATACACATTTGACACACACACACACAGATATATATATATATATATATGATGACTAACGTAATCGGTTCATTAATTTGCCGGTCGACAGGTTCGTAAAACGTTGCAGCAGCTAGTGAATATGTATAAGGACGAGGAGGTGAGCATAACTGTGACAGGCCATAGTTTGGGAGCTGCACTTGCAACCCTAAACGCCATGGACATAGCTCACAATGGTTTCAATAAGCCTGCAGGCAATTCGAATAAGGCCATCATGGTGACTGCTTTTCCGGCCGCCAGCCCGCGCGTCGGGAACCTGTTCTTCAAAGGCGTTGCCGATAATCTCAAGAATTTTCATATCCTACGGATGGTGAACTCGACGGACCCAGTTCCTAAGGTCCCATTTGCACCTGGAATATACTTCCATGTGGGAGAACAGTTAGATCTTGACACGACCAAGTCACCCTACTTGAAATGGAACATTAGTCCTCACAATTTGGAGGCTTACCAGCATGCAATTGCAGGGGTGCAGGAAAAGGGAGAATTCAAACTGGAAGAAGACCTTAACTTTGATAATAACACCATAAACAAATACACTGATGGTTTACTGGACGAATACAAAATACCAGATAACTGGTGGAATAAGGAAATGTTCAAAAACATGGTTCAGGGAGACGATGGCCACTGGAAGTTCCATGACGTTGCGTTTGTGCCAGAGCCTTCAATTGCTTAAGCGGATCCATCGTTGCATGTCAAACGAGTATAAGATCGAATATCTTATGTTATCATTAAAATAAAATCATGTAAAACCAGTATTGTATCTGTTTCCTGCAAAAATAAGAACCTCTACTTATCTAAGTAGATGGGATTTCTCAAGTTTAAATAAAGTTGGACGTTAAGCCTCTTTCGTCCAACACGATTGTGCTGTCTTAAGTTTGTGTGTTCGTCTACATGTATTTTAATAAGTTTTCATTATTATTGTTTCTGCAAAGAATAGCGTTAATGCTTGAAAATTTTAGTATTAGTATTTGGAGTTAATTGTTAACTATGTCTAGACTATAAATGAATCTCCAAACTTTAAAATATTTTAAATTAGTCTTTAAATTATTAATACCATTTTAAAAATATCATTATGATAGTTTACCAAATTATTTGAGCATTAAATTTTTACTTAGATATATTGCGAAGCATATTTAAAACACGTGTATCAATATTTAAATATCGTGTATTACTGTATGAATAACTTGAATCTGATGTGTTTTAGTTTGGGATGAATACAAGATAGTATTTATTCGAAAAACTCTCAATCAATTGTTAATGAACGCTCATACATCTCTGTAAATAAATATCATGCTTGAACCCAGGACTTCAAGGAACAACAACAATCTCTAACTACTGAGATCGTTTGGTTCATACAATATATGCACATATGTTTAAAATTTTAATAACTATTATTTTTTATATGATAGATCCAAATTATTCATGCAACATATGCATGTATATTTAAGATTTGATCCAAGAATTTCAAATAAGAATTAGACACGGATTGATAATTAATGCTTAAATTATTCGATAAATTAGCTGAAAAATGTTTAAAATAATATTAATAATTTAAGAAATAATTCGGAATATCTTAAAATTGATTAACTAATATAAAATCTGGGTATAATTTAAGGATGCATGGATGGAGCAATTAATTAACTCTAGTATTTTACATGAAGTTTACGTATTCGTTGCATTTATATACTCATTTCGTTCCTGTCGTACGTTCACTTCCTCATGGATTAATTGTATACCATTATACATACGAATCTAAGTTTTTTAATACATTGAAATAAATGTATCATCAGCCTAGTGGTCCAATGGGGTCAGAACCAGCTAATAGGGGTGAACATCCTAAGCGATTGTTCATGGCTCTCATTTTTAACAGAGCTTCCAATTTTTTTAATTTAATTTTTTTTATATTTATAATAAAGGTTTTTAATTTTTATAATCTCACATTTAACTTTATAATTGAGCCCCTATTTTTTTTCAATCCCACTTTTTACCTTTATAATTGAGACTCTATATTTTTCAATCTCACTTTTTACCTTCATAAGGCCCCTAATATTTTCAATCCCCTTTTCTAACCTTTATAATTGAGACCCTTAATTTTTTTCAATCTCACTTTCCACCTTTATAATTGAGGCCCCTAATTTTTTTTAATCTCACTTTTACCTTTATAATTGATGCCCTTAACTTTCTAATTTCACTTTTTACCTTTTTTAATTGAGGCTCTTAACTTTTTCAATCTTATTTTTTACCTTTTGTAATTGAAGCTCCTAATTTTTTTCAATTCCACTTTTTACCTATATAAGACCCTAATTTTATCAATCTCACTTTTTACCTTTATAACTGAGACCCATAATTTTTCAATCCCATTTTTTACCTTTTGTAATCGAGACTCTTAATTTTTCAATCTCACTTCTTACCTTTACAATTGATGTCCCTAATTTTTTTCAATTCTATAAAATTCTCAATTTCCTATCCCTTTCTCCACGCTCTCATTAATTTATCTACTTTTGAATCATATTTTTCTTTTTCTTTCAAGTTGCATTCTTCAATTTATCAAATATTCTTTACATCTTAATCTTCTCCAATCTCAATCTAATGGTAAACTAATACACTATTCTTTATTTTTTTCATTTATTGTTCGAAATCAAGATTCATATCATACCCAAATTCAAATCTCTTAGTTGTATTTAAGGTGCTTCCTTAACAAAATAATAAAACTAATATTTGATAAAATTTAATCATTTTTCTATGACTTATTAATATAATGTTAAATTGATTATCCAAAGTAATAGAATATACTTTCATTCTATGAAGACTTATTTTTTAGTTCCGTTCAGGGTCCCGAAAATGTCTAAGAGAGTTTTGAATAGAGTTGAATAAGATTAATGGATGATGCGACTGCCAGGTTTTTATGGCTGCTGAAGCTTGCAGCCATTCTGACCTACTAAAATGAAGGCTTTGTTTTGCTGATTCTTTGGCAAAACTGGGACTTCATAAACCAATGATTATTAAGCTTGGCATTGATTTGTTTTCTTTTTAAGTTTTTTTAGTGTGTTTTAAGACTGGTTTAGATTAATAAACCAAATTCACGTTATCAATTTAATCATTCAGCAGATTCGAAAACATCAAAGAGAAAATCCAATCATATTTTTGCTCGGTAGATTAATACAAAAATGCCAAATTTCGATTTTGAGACATATTATAACACATCTGTGTGGATTATAATGTATACTTTAGAGCCAAGCACTCATACAAGGAAGAGGAAATAAAATGAACCCTCAATCAAGCAGATTGAGTAGTTGACAAATGAACCACCCTTGTAATATAAGGATCTAATGTTTAAGCTATCGGAAGTTCCCACTTTTATACACCAAACTAGCCTTCTTGCAAATTGATCCAAGCTCATTTTCAGCTCTCCTTTTTCGACATTTAGGCTGAGAAACCAAAGCTTGAGAAGAGACCGTATTTGTTGTATTGGATTGAGCCGGAGTTGAACCGATTTGGGGAAGAATGAGATGGGTTATGTCTTGAAGGGGTATTCTTAGTCTTCTTTTTTGTTTTTTGGGTGATGAAGGTTTCGAGACAACAAATGTAGGCTGTTTAGAGGAGAAAGGAGGGGCGTTCTCCTTGTTGTCATTTTCACTGAGGGAGAAAACAGCCATTTGATTTTTGAATATGGGAGAGGAGGAGGATGGGAGTGAATGGTGGAATGGTGGAGATGATGAGAGACATAAGTAGTGGTGGATTTTGGAGGGGAGTTAGTGAAAGATTTCAATTCAAACTTCAAAGCTGCTTTGGGGTTTTTCACTTTAGTTTTGGTTTCAAGGAGGGAATTTTGGTGGGTTGAATTAGAGAAAAATGGTTTTAGTTTGAGAATATTGTTAATGGAGGGAAGGTTGGACTTTGGAGGCGGAATCATTTTTCAGGTTTCTTTTTTGTTTCTGTCGAGGCTTGAAAAATGGCTAACGTGAAAATTACTCGATAGAAAAGGCGCGCATTTTTAATTTTAGTGCTGTACAAATTGGGGCAGCACCGCACGAGGAGGGAAGCGTTAAAAATTTCACTCTTACAACTGGAGTGGAGAGGACCCTACCATTGGAATTCAGCCCTTTTTGTTGGGCTTTAAGGGAGTATACAGTTTTACACAATTCGAATTTGACAATATCTCTATCCAGTCTGATCCAATTGTCATTAAAGTATTGGAGCGATAATAATATTGAATAGAAATAGTCATGGCTGGGTCCGGTGAGTTAGATTTTTTTGGGGTTATTTGTTTACTTTTGAATGATTAAGTGTTGAATGATTCAAATGTTGAATGATTCAAATGTCGATTGATTCAGGGGCTCTGTATGAATTAGCTCTGAATGTGACATGATGTTTGATAATAACTCTAAATCATTCAGCACTGAATCATTCAGAGGTACGAAACAAACGCGCTGAATGTAATTTTTTACTTTAAAAGTAGGGTTCAGCATTTAACGCTGAATGATTACATTAAGAGACAAACAAACAGCTCCTTAGTTAACGTAAATTTGACTCGAGTATAATATCCTTAAATCACTTGGTTCAACCTAGATTTAAAGAAAATTTACTCAACTTGAAATCCAACCCTACTTTTAAAGTAAAAAATTACATTCAACCCAATCTTATATATATATAAATATTTTTTTATTATATAAAATAAAAAAAAATTAATTAAAAATATATATAAAAAAGATATTATAACAATTATCCTTAAATATGTAAAAGTTAATTATACCATTAATTTTAGGTCAAATATTTCTCATCCTAAACTCGAATTTGATCCACCTTGTATTTCAAAAAGTTAAATTCAACCTGAATCATAATTGAAAACCTCGATTCTATAGAACCAAGTCAAAATCCGTCGATTTGAGTCAAAATGCCTATCCCTGGTATTAAATCATGCAGATTGTTTAATATTTTTACAGTTTCTCATGGTAAGATTGTTGAACCTTAACCTATTAGTAGGGACGGGCATGGAACCTGAATTTTACTCAATCAAGTCGTATTTTTTAATTTGGGTGCAGATTGGATTGAAATTTTTATAGAATGAGTTGAGGTCAGGTCGGGTAGAGTTTAGGGTAGTTTGGTTCACGGAATGTAAGATTACCAGTGGGAATAAAATATTACCAGAGAATAGAATTACTGGGAATATTGTATTTTGTGTTTGGTTGGTTTAGCAGTAATGTAAGATTATCGTGTTTGGTTAAAGGAATAAAAGATTATTGGAATGTATATTTGACCAAATTGTTTTTATTATATATTTGTATAATATTACAAATTGTAAAATATTTATATATTTTCTTTAAAAAATTAAATTCATAATATTTATATAAATTTTTTTTACAAAATTAAAAATATAAAAAATGTTTAATGAAAGGGTAAAAAAATTTTAACTCCTGAACTTGATATAAAATTTTAATTATAGACTTTTTTTTGTAAATCTAAAATAATTTAAGGATAAATTTGTAATTTAACTTTCGTAGAATTTTTATTATTCAATGACAGAAGAATGATATTTTTGAAAAAAAATTAAAAATTTAAGGGCATTTTAGTCCAAAACGCCGGTAATGTTACAATACCTAAGGGAAGGGAGGTAATGACATTCCCGGTAATATACCCCAAAAAATCTACTATTGGTAATAAAACATTACCGGGAATGAGATTCCCGGCCAACCAAACATGAGAATGTGGGGGAATCCCACAATCCTTGAACCAAACACCCCCTTAGGGTGAAAAATACCCAACCCGACATGACATGAAAAATAATATAATTAGAAATAATTGTAATAATACTCCTCTTTATATTTTTTTCAATTAAATCTCTATTTTATTGAATAAAATTAATAATTTTATAT